CTCATTAGTATCCGGTAACTTTCCCTATCCGGATTGCAACTTTGATAATCCATCTCTTGGAAAACTTGCAGTGCAATATCTGAACGACCCTTTTGGCACAAAGCAAGCATAAGCAAATTCAAGGACCGAACCCGCGAGCTCACTTCCCATCCACAACAATGCTCCATGAAAATACGATGAGCTGCTTCAAGCTTGGACTCTTTCACCATAATCTCCAAAAGGGTATTGAAAGACTGCGTCCAATTCACACAGTTGAACTGTGAAATGTTCTTGAAAAGAGACACTGCCTCGTCCAGCAACCCAGCTCTTGCATAGGTCTTAATTACAGAAACAAAAACTGAATCTTTGCATTCACAGGAGTCGTTTTTCATCTCATTAATTACTTCCTTCATCTCATTGATTCGGCCTGAGTTTCCGAGTATGCTGATCATGTTGGCATAAACTGGACCGTTGTGACGGTAATTGGGGTATTTGCATTTAGCTTCACTGAAAATTTGGAGAGCTGTTAATGGGTTTTTCTGCTTTCGTATAATCTGAGAGAGGTGCGTGGGTGTTAGAAGCCTCGGCCATCTTATACTCATGGTGATCCAATATTGACCACTGTCACTCTGTGATCTTGTACTACGCCAGAAGCCTGCATTCTCCGAGCGTCAAAGAGATGAAGCGCAACAATGAAGGATTCCTATTAAGAGGCATGAAGCCAGCAGCAGGATGATCTGGCCCTTTTGCTACAGTTGCAGGCCCTGCATCAACCTGCTTAGTTGTTGAAGATGAGGATTGGCAGCAAGCTAATTTGGGAGCTCTTTTGGCATCTTATTGAACAAAACAACGATTAGCTGTTCTCTGCCACACAGCCCTTGCTTCTGCTGCTGCCATCAACTTCCTATTCTTTTGCACATTTTACTCTGCAAAAGGAGAATATGCTACTCTATTAACACCCAAAACCCATTAGAGAAGGAAACATGAGAAAATGCAAAACAATTATTCTGCAGAAGAATCCAAGATAGATTTCAAATCATAGTTGCCTAATTCGCTCACCCCCTACGAATTTCGATCAGGATTGAGCGTACCCAATCGCGGTACGGTATCGATCTGGAACGGAAGATTTAACGACTCAGTTCCAGAGGCGAGAACAGTACCTGATAGACGACGTCGCTGCTACAGAACAGAAACTGACCGCCGACAGCAGACGAGCAATCGAGGGCACATGAGGGACTAGGAAGAGTGCTATAGTTGATGAGCCCACGTTTGATTCTTGGTCTCTTGGCATAAGGGGAAGGAAGATTTTGGGTTCGGAGAGGATATTTTTGGACGAATGGATTCCAAGAGCGTCTTTTGGTTGGATTGAATTGATTTGTTCTTTTTTAAAGTTTCTGTTTTTGTTTAAGTTAAATTAATATTAATTTAACTCAGTTTTTTTCTCAGTAAAAATAATAAAACAAAGACATACTGATATTTAAATCATTTTTTTCTCAATCCTTATATTAGATTCAAGAGTGAGTGATCAAAACTTCATTGGACCCTAGGGTCTAAGAGAACGAGTCTGTTCTCGGAATTTCTATTGAATAAATACAATACATAACTTATTGAATAAATACAAAACCACTTATTCATAAAATAAATAAATCCATAATTAAAATTTACACCTAGAAACAAATATTAAAGTTTATTGTTGAACTTGAAACTTCAAAACAAACAAAACGGAAATTGAAAATACTTATAATTAAAAATAGCCACAAGTAGCCTGGGGTTTCACCTAGGTGCAGCCGTGAATTAAACTATTACTTCCATTGAGTTGGTTTTGAATATGTCGGTGGGTTGAAAACCAGTCGAGGTGAGATTAAATGTTGGTTTATATTTCAGTTTTACTGAATGGTTGTGGTTAACAGGTGTTTGTAGTTATGACGTGTCTGAAATCCGTTTGGATCAATGAATGATTTTGGCCTATTCTGCAAATTGGGTACTCTTACCTTGTGCATGCTACCGGTTGGAATTTTATTATTATGTGTTTTGATAGGTTGAAAATTTGGGAAAAGTTTGTTTTTCAAGGAAGACTCTGTCAAAATTTTGGCAGAGATTCTCGACCCTATTTTTTATTATTTTTGGAGAAGAAGATGTTGTTAGTAAGTGGGCCTGGTATCTGGTGGATGTCGAAAAAACCACAAGGTTTGTCTCAAATTCCGAGGAATTCAGGGCGGGTTTTATCAGGGGGACTATACGCTAATGACATATCATTCAATGTACTAAGTAACCCTCAATTCCATGAGATGGTTACATCCATTAACAACGGTCCCAAGGAATATAAGGCTCCTTCATATGAAAAAGCTAGAACTGCATTGTTGGATGCAACAAAAAAAAGGTATTGAAAGAGAATTAGCTCCAATAAAAGATACATGGTATAGTCATGGAGTGTCCATTGTATCAGACGGGTAGACAAATGTAAAGCATAAACCACTGATCAATGTCATTGATGCCAATAGCATAGGTGTTATGTTCTTGCATGTACATGATATGTTGGGGATTGAAAAGACTGGTAAAGAGATTGCAAGCCTCTTGCTTGAAGCAATTGAAGAGGTGAGGTCATATAATGTTCTCCAAGTAGTAATTGACAATGCAAGTAATTGTGTCACAGCTGGGAGAGAGATTGAAAAGGTGCATGAGCAAAATTTTTTGTCTCCATGTGTTCATACCTTAAATCTCATTTTTAAAGATCTTGCACAAAAATTTGAGTGGCTTACAAATATTTATAAATATGAAAAGTCAATTGTCAATTTTTTTATAAACCACACATATGCTTTGGCAATTTTTACGCATTTGGAGTTTCTAAAAGTAGCTAAAGAAAGATTTGCGTCACATTATATCTTGTTAAAAGGGCAAGTTAATTATAGAGAATCACGACAAACTACTGTTATTCAAAGAGCATGGAAAGATTTGTTGAAAAATTTAGATTAAGGCAAAAGAAATTTAGCTACTATGGTTCAAAATACCGTGCAAAATGATAATTTTTTGGAACATGTTGAGGCAATATTAGAGTTCACAAAGCCAATTTATCATGTGATAAAATTTGTTGATGGTGATGACTAAAAGATAGGTGAAATTTATGAAAGGATGGATAATATGCTTGGCGAAATAAAGGATATTATGGCAAGTGAAATATATTCCGAACATTTTCCTGTGGCTATTTTTAATTTTAAGTATTTTCAATTTCTGTTTTGTTTGTTTTGAAGTTTCAAGTTCAACAATAAACTTTAATATTTGTTTATGTGTGTAAATTTTAATTATGAACTTATTTATTTTATGAGTAAGTGTTTTTTTTATTTATTCAATAAGTTATGTATTTTATTTATTCAATGTATTGAAAGAATCATGACTTTCCTTCTTCCTTAGCAATTCTTGAATAGTCCCGTTCTCCTGGACCCTAAGAGTCCAAAGAAATTTTGATCACTCACCCTTGGATCTAATCTAAGAGTTGAGAAAAAAACTAATTTAAATATTAATATGTCATTATTTTATTACTTTTATTGTAAAAAATATTAATTTAACTTAAACAAAAACAAAAACTTTAAAAAAGAAAAAATCACTACAACCAAAAGACGCTCTCTCTCAGAAAACCAAGAACATGTTCTTCATCCATTGTCGTTCACAACTACCTTCAACTTCGGTGTTGCATACGAAAATCAAGAACACATGTCGTTTAAGATTCACTCTAATTCTTATTGGTTATCTATTTCATCTCTTCATTTAGATTCAAATATTCAATTTTTTCATAAACAAAAGAAAATTTATTGATCCCAATTCGGAGCCATCAAGCCATCCCGTTACACTTTAGCATGATTGAATTCAAAGGACCCACAACCAAGTCATTTCCCTATTGTTCTCTACCTTTGTGATCAATTTTATGTTTATAAATTTTAGATTTGAATGATTCATGACCAAGTTTGGGAAAACTACAAATTTTTATAAACAAATTTTGGGCTTTTTTGTTTGTTTGTTTGTTTGTTTTTTTTTTTCATGAACCCAGACTTGTGTTTCTGCAACTATATTGTATTTTCATCTTTGATATTCAACTTATTTATAAAAAAAAAGTTTTAATAACCAAAATAGTATTTCAGTGCAGTAAAAGTACAATAAAAGATGACATATTGATATTTAAACCAGTTTTTCTCAACCCTTAGATTCGATCCAATGGTAGGTAACCACAACTTCCTTGGATCATAGGGTCCAAGAGAACATAAATGAATTCTTGAAACCAAAAACAATACTTTTATTATATTGACACACCCACCCCATCCCAACCTTTAGTACGTTCCTCCTTAAAGCACTTCCACCCATTTGTCAGAGCATGTACAGCACTAGGCTATTGCCATGGCAACATGCCCTCCTAGGCCCCAATTCCTCCTCCAGAGCAGAAAGGCCAGCCTGGGCAAGCGATGGACCCCACCAGCCCGAGCAAGCCCACAGGCAAAAATGGACTGGGCTGTTGCCCTCAAGCTGCTGACAGCAGCGCCTGAAATATTTTTTTTTTAAAAAATCCAAAAATTAAAAAAAAAATGTGGAATTTTTTTCTATAAATACCTATCAATATTATTCACTTTCCATACCAAATCTTCATACAAATTCATCTAATTCCAATCATTTTCACTTTCCATACCAAATTTTCTACTACAAAATTCCATTTTAAAATTTGAATTTAATAAATATGGATACGTGGCAACCAAAAATTTTATTCGAAAATTTTATTTGAAAATTTTATCCGAAAATGTTATCTAAAATTTTAGGTGAGAATTTTATAATAAATAGTGACACGTGGCAATAGAAAATATTATCTGAAAAGCTATCAAAATTAATAGTTAAGTATAAAAAAATAGAAATAAAGTAAAGTGAATAGTATTTGCCATTGCCCTTACTCTTGCCCTGGAACCAAAAAAGGTAAGGTTGACACTATTTACGTGAATAGTGTCAAACCTTGCCTTGCCCTTGCCTTTTAAGGTGGAGGTGCTCTCATGACAAAGAGTATGAGAAAGTAAGGACGGTTACTGTTCACATGAATAATATCTGCTATAGCAATTGTTTTTGTACTTTTCCACTAATTATCATGGCAACTCAAAAGCAATTACTATTCCCATGAGATTTTATATATGAATATTTTGGTAATTTTTAAGATTTTTATTTATTTATTTTCTTTGTTGACATCAGCGCTTTCAGACAACAGCTCGGGCTATCTTGCCTTGGGCCTTGCTAGCTCTTGCCCGGGCTGGATGTCACTGCTGCAGCTGATTTTGGGAGACAAGGAGCCTTTTGCCTGGGCTGGGCTCTTGGAATCAATTCGTCTAAAAAAAATCCTCTCTGAACCCAATATCTTCCTTCCCCTTATGCCAAGAGACCAAGAATCAAACGTGGGCTCATCAGCTATCGCACTCTCCCTCGTCTCTCAGTGCCCTCGATTGCTCGTCTGCTGTCGGCGGTCAGTTACTGTTCTGTAGCAGCGACGTCGTCTATCAGGTACTGTTCTCACCTCTGGAACTGAGTCGTTAAATCTTTCGTTCCAGATCGATACCGTACCGCGATTGGGTACGCTCGATCCATATCGAAATTCGTAGGGGGGGTAAGCGAATTAGGCAACTATGTTCAGGAACCAATACTTTTGCATAAAATATTTGTTGTGCCTGCATATGCATGATGTATTGTGACCGTGGTGTTTATTTACATTTGTCCTAAAGAGAAGAGTAGATATGTGTTTTAGGAAAGAAGTAGAAATGTTTATAATTTATCTGAGCCTGGGTTCAGTCTGAGTTGCTTTCTTTGTTTTCTTTTGACAATATGTGAAGTATGATAGCAGCTTGCCAGTGATTGAGGTGGGTGCTTGGGTGGGTTTGGTCTGTCTGGTTTTTCTCACAATGTGTTACATGTACATTAATGTGGACTGGGTTTATTTGTGACGAATCATGAATCTAATTACTATTTTGTTTTTTGAATTAATGGACTTTTAACTTTTGTTTGCTTGGATATCCAGGGTGTTGACATCAGTTAGGCATTGCAAAATGGAAATTCCAAATTGTGTACAGAGTTTCACTTATTACTAAGTGCAACCAAGGTGAGAATGCTCCTTTTGACAAGATTAAAGAGATCCAATCAACTTACTCAAATTCCTCCGAAGCTAAATTTTTCTGTCATTCACGCTCTTAAAATATCCAGCCAATTTCTATCGTCTTCAGAAACTAATATTGAAGTTGACAGGATCACCAGAATAATTAATAACCATCCGTATCCTGATCAACCACTTCTACCAACTCTTCTCCAGCACATCCCACCCCATGCTCTTTCCAC